TCGTCGTCGTCCTCCCTCCTCCCTCGTCGTTGTCGTCGTTGTCGCCGTCGTCGTCCTTCCTCCTCCCTCCTCGTCGTCTTCGTTGGCGTCGTCGTCGTCGTCGTCTTCGTCGTCGTCGTTGTCGTTGTCGTCGTCGAAGTCGTCGGAGACGTCGTCGGTGTCGTCGTAATCGTTGTCGGCGGTGTCGTCGTAGTCGGTCTTAAGAGGTTTTGCAAACCAAGTTGCGGGTGGGTTGGTGGGATGTTTGCAAGAGCGTGGGATGTGTCAAATCTTGGGTGAAAATCAGTTGCACCACTTAGATAACACCACATAATTTGCACCACATCGATTGCACCACATTCTGAATTGCATCACACCGATTGCACCACACAGTTCTCACCCCATAGATCGCGCCACATAGATGGCACCACGTAGCTTGCACCACACAACTCACACCACATAGATGCGTACGTTCGCTCCTGCCGCGTAGGCCACGGGTGCTCGTGATATAAAGAAGAGACACGCGACAACCCTTGAATAAGAACAGCTCATGAACGGTGGATGGGGCTTCGACGCCGCAAGCGACGCACCCACGCGCGTGCCGGAAGGAGTTTGCCTCAAGAGCCATGGCGGGCAAGGAGGAAGCGGATCATCGTGAGCCAAGGCCGACTGGGGCCCAACCCAGCCAAAAACTGCTCCTTAATTTACTCGTGCCCTGTTTCTGTTGGAGGCCTTGCTCTTCGAGGCGGCGGCGACCGCTGCCGACAATTCAAAAAAACGGCGGGAGCGCGTCTGGATGGCGCCCTGTCAAGGCGACTACTCAAGAAGGTGTGACGAACTCGGGCTTGGCTCCGAGTCGCCCGAGCTGCGAGCGGGAACGCTGTCTGATGGCGACTCCGTGCTAATTGTCGGGCAATTGTTGGAAACTAAGCCGCCGATTGCACCATCCCGACCACATCATCTCCGTGTCTCCTGTTACCCTGCCATCCATCCGAAACGGTAGAGACACAGACCGTGCACAACACAAAAATGCCACACTTGCTTCTAGGCGTGATGGCGCGATTGAGAGGTGCTGTGCTGGTGAATGCATCTGCTCGTCTAAGCTTCTGCCCGTCACAATTGAGTAACACCGCCAAAGGCCCTCTGTACCAATCGGCAGAGAGGGAGCGACTGAGGCAACACATCATATGCTTACCAATCTTTCCCCGATCAACTACCTACGAGAACACGCACACGCCGTTCCTGCCAGCTACGCTGGCCAACATAAGTGGGGTCAACACCGCCAGAAAAGCGGCTGCATACCGTAACGCTTCTTAACGGCTTCCATCTGCGCGACCACTCTGGGAAGGAGCAGAGACTTGTGGCCCATCAGAAATACGATGGCCACAGAACAGCGTTCCAGCCACGACAGCATCTGTAACTTGAGTGCGTGGGCGTTCCCTTCGAGCCGTCTGTTCATCCTCTGCGACCCCTCGCCATCAATTGTCCCATGTCCTTCCTAGCTGGTAAAACGGCAGAGCGCAAGGCTAAATTGCTCTCCTGCAGCGCAACGAGCAAACGCTGCGGCGACCCACCCAAAATTCGCCGGCCCAACGGGCCAGAGGCGTGCGAAGATCTCCGGTGACTGGTTGACAATATTTCTAGTTCGCGCGCGCGGGGCGGCCCGTGGGGGTCCCCCAGCGAAAAGTACCCCGACCGCCGCCCGGGCGCAGCCCGGCCACCCTTTACTCAGAGATGGCTTTCCTCTTGGGCGCGGCCTCTCAGGCCCCCAGAGCGCGCCAAGAGGGCCCCAAGAGGCCCCCAAGACTGCCCAAGAGGCCCCCGAGACGCCCAAATAGCGCTCCAAGACGCCAAAGATGACTCCAAGACGGCCCAAGAGGCCTCCAAGTGGCCTCCAAGAGGCCTCACAAGAGAGCCCCGAGAGGCCCAAATCATACATTTTAAAATGGTTCTGGAAGGATTTTGGCATTGTCGCCTTTTCGGCTTTCCGATGCTCCAAGACGGCCCAAGAGGCCCCCAAGAGCGCCCCAAGACGGGCCAAGAGGCTTCCAAGAGGGCCCCAAGAGGGCCCCGAGACGGCCCAAGAGGCGTCCAATACGGCCCAAGAGAGCCCCAAGACGGCCCCAAGAGGGGCCCAAGCGGGGGACCACGAACCGAAAACTCTAGCCTTCCGCCCCAAGAGGACCCCAGGAGGCCCCGAGAGGCCCCCAAGAGGCCCCAAGATGCCGTCAAGAGACCCCAGCCCCAGGAGGCCCCCAGGAGGCCCCAAAAAGGCTCCATGAGGCCCCAGAAGGCTTCAAAGATGCCTCCCAGGGGGCCCCGAACGGCTTCTCAAAAGACCCCAAGAGACCTCCGAAAGAAGCATCTTGACGACGACCCTGTTTGGCCCCAAGAGCAACACAAGATGCCAACGAGAGGCTTCCTCCTCCGCCCCCTCCTCTTCTTCCTCCTCCTCCTCCTCGTCCTACATCTTCATCCTCCTCCTCTCCTTTTCATCCTCTTCTTTTCCTCCTCTCCCCTTCCCCATCTTCATCTTTCTCCTCCTCGACGGCGCCACAATGGCCCCGAGCCCACGGCGAAGCAGTCGCGACCATGCAATATGGGCCGGCGGAATGAGCGAAGCGATTGAATAAGCAGAGCGCACGTTCGGGGCGGCGCTGCGCGGATGCTCCTCACAACGTTGGCCGAACACGACCAGTGAGCAAGAGAGCAGCTGACAAGGAAAGACACGCGGCGTAAGGAAACGCACGGCAGAGCGCAAGGCTAATTCGCTCTCCTGCGGCGCAACGAGCAAACGCAGCGGCGCCCACCCCAAGAAGGAAGCAGAGCGCGCGTTGGGGGCGGCGCCTCGCGGATGCTCCTGAAAATGTTGGCCGAACACGACCAGTGCGCAAGAGAGCAACTGATGACAATATTAAACTTCACGTATGGACGCGTGTGCAGATGGCTCCTCTGCGTCTCCTGGCAACTCCGTGTTCAGTGTGCGCTGTCAGCCAGCGTCCCGGAGAGGCGTGCACAGAAGAGAAACGTTGAACTGCGAAGTGAGGCCACCGCATGCTCTCCAGAAGGCACTCAGAACACGAAATGAGCCCACTGGATCTCAGGCAGGAAACTATCCTGCAAGCGAATTCAGATACGTACAGTGTCGCAATTCTGGCCTGTGCCAAAGCACAAGGCCCTTACGACATGCGACCGTCGACTGGCGCAGCCTGATGGTGCCTACATGAGCCTGACACGTGCGATACTTGATATGTTGCATTCTGATTGTGCTGACATGAACCTGGCACGTGCGATACTTGATCTGCTCAACTGGTCAACCAGCATGCAGCTGGCAATCTGGTGACCTCACGTATGGGAGAGAGCGTGATCCACCGCCGCTTTACTGCGGAAAATTCCCCCCCTCTTCCTCCGGAACCCGGGGTTCCCCCCCCGCTCCGAAAATCCCCCCACCCCTGCTGGACCCCCTCCCCATCCCCCCTCCCCCCCGCAACCCCCCCCCCCCTCCTCTAACCCTCCCCCTTCCTCCGGAAAACCGGAGGGGGTCACTACCCGTTCGAACACCCCCTCCCTCCGGAAAACCGGGGGGGGGGGGTCACAACCGGTTCGAACCCCTCCCCCCCCCCCCCCAGAAACCAGAGGGGGGTCACTACCGGTTCGAACCCCCCCCCCCTCCTCCAGAAAACCGGAGGGGGGCACTACTGGTTCGAACCCCCCTCGCCCCCCGCCTCCGGAAAACGGGTTCGAACCCCTCCCCCCCCCCTCCAGAAAACCAGGGGGGGGGTCACTACCGGTTCCAACCCCCCCAGGGGGGGTCACTACCGGTTCGAACCCCTCGCCCCCCCACGCTCACCGCCAGCAAACGACTCCCGGGTCCCTCCCAACTGCTGTCCCCAGCACCAGTGTCCTCACCGCCACTGTCCCCACTGTCCCACTGTTTCCACCACAGTCCCACTGTCTCCACACCACTGTCCCCACCACCACCGTCCCCACCACTGTCCTACTGTCCCCACTGTTCCCGCCATTGTCCCCGCTGTCCCCACCAGTGCCCCCACCAGTGCCTCACTGTCCCCACTCTCCCCGCCGCTGTCCCACCACCGTCCCGCTCTCTCCACTTTCCCCACGGTCCCCACCATTGTCCCACAGTCCCCACTGTGCCCACCACTGTCCCACTGTCCCCGCCGCTGTCCCACTATGCTGTCTCACCGTCTCCACTGTCCCCATCCCTGTCCCACTGTACCCACTGTCCCCACCACTTTCCCAACTGTACTACTGTCCCACCACTGTCCTCACCACCGCCTTCACCACTGTCCCCACCACTACCGTCCCCACCACTTTCCCACTGTCCCCACCACTGTTCCGCTGTCCCCTCACCACTGTCCCCACCACCACCGTCCCCACCACTGTTCGCATCACTGTCCCACTGTCCCCGCACCACTGTCCCCACTACCACCGTTCCCACCACCACTGTCCCAGCATCCCCACCATTGTCCAACTGTCCCGAGGATCGGGAGTCGTTTGCCGGCGGCGAAGGGGGGGGTGTTCGAACCGGTAGTGACCCCCCCCCCCCCGGTTTTCGAGGGGGGGGGTTCGAACCGATAATGACCCCCCCCCCCCTTTGAAAGACATGGACTGGGGGTGGGAGGGGTTCGAACCAGTAGTGACCCCCCCCGGTTTTCGAAGGGGGGGGGACGGGTTGGGAACCCACAGTGACCCCCTCCAGTTTTCCGCCAGCAGCGGTAGAATACGCTCTTTCACGTATGGAGATCATGCATCATGGCAGGAGGTGCTCCACTGTACTGCCTCTAGTGTGCCGCAGAGTGGACCGACTTCTGAGCATAGAGCGAGAAAAAGAGAGAGAGAGAGAGAGAGAGAGAGACAGAGAACCTCACCTCGGAAGTGCGGAGGCTGTGCCCTGGAGAATCTTGGAATCACGCCAGATCGTCGTACACTCAGTATTGCCCACCGCGTCTCGTGGTCACAAGAAGAGCCTCTGGACCCGGCGCGGTCTGGACGGCTCCTTCTCAGAAGCCGTGGTTCCTCTTCGGGCGCATGGCCTTCTCGTCCCTGCGCCGCTGCTGCAGCGCATGGAACCTCCTCCTGGCGAGCTCGGCGTACACCTGCATGGGGGTGCGCGGCCCGGACTGCTGCTCGGTGGGCGTGGGCGGCCCCTGCTGCAGGAAGTCCGGGGGCACGTCCATGTCCCAGCTCAGCTCGCCGAACTGCTCCTCCGCCAGCGCCCACGGGGAGCCCTGCGCGGACCCGCCGTGGGGCTCGGAGTGCACGCGCGCGCGCCCGCGCCCGCGCCCCGCCCTGCCGCGCGCCCTCGGCGAGGGCCGCGCCGCCGCCGCGAAGCGGCCCTCGGCGCGGCCGCAGCGCGCGCTGCCCCTGCTGCTGGCCCTGCCCTGCTGGCCGCTGGGCCTCTGCGCGCTGGCCCTGCTGCAGGTCCTGCCGCTGCGCGCGGAGCGCCCGGACGCGGCGGAGCCCACGCTGCCCTCGCTGCGCAGCGAGGGGCGCCGCGAGGCGGCCCTCGCGGTCGGGAGCGTCTCCGCCCTCGGGCGGCGCGGCGCGGCGCGGCAGAGCCCGCCCTCGGCTCCAGTGCTCTGGGTCGTCGGCGGGGGCTCCGCGGAGTGGCTCTTCTTCGTGGACCTCAGGCCGGTGAGCTGCGAGTGGATGCGCCGGATCAGGGAACCTGGGCTCCCAGGAGCGAGGTGTTCAGGCGCAGATGACGACGCGAGGCGCGACCAGGCGCTGCTGCTGCTCGTGCTTGACGCGGGGCTCGCACTGCTGCCCTCTGACGCATATGTGGACCGCTCCGGCGCTGGACAGCATGATGGGGCCGCAGGTTCCGAAACACTGTCGCACACACTGAAGAAGCCATCACTGCCCGCCACATCTAAATCTGTTATGAAACCGTTGGGGTGTACAATCCTTCCTTTCCCCTTAGCATGCCTCGAATTCAATACAGTCAGAAACGACATGTTGAGCACAAAATGGCTTGAGCACAAACGGCTATGGATCTAGGTCGTGGCAAACATTTTGGGCCAGCCCTGGGATCTCTTGGGCTGTCTCAAAGGCCTCTTGGGTAATCTAGGGGGCTTCTTAGGGGCTTCTCTGTGGGCACAAACAGAGCACTGTTTTGTATTTTGCTTTTCGTGGTGGCGTCTCGGATCGCTCTCTGTGGCTATGATTCGTTCATCTGGGAAGCTAGCCAGAAGCTGATCTGACCGCCTGACGGGCCATCATCGGCCATTTGGAATTATTTCCCAATTATCCTGTGGTCTTGGGTCCTCGTTTTGATTTAGCAGCGCCCCGCGTCTCCCATCCGGCTCCCCCCCCTCCCTCCTCCCATCCGTCCCTCGACCTTTCGCATGACTCTGTTTCGGCATACACACACCTCATCGAAGGCCCCAGTGGCAGGGTCCGCACGGCGCCACCGCACCAACTTCGGCACACCCTTCACACGTTTCGTGGCCCCATAGGGGGGGCTCCACCAAAAGCCCCTATGGCAGGGCCCGCATGGCGCCACCGCAATCGTATCGGCGCCCCATTTACAGTTTCGTGGCCCCATAAGCAGCTCACACCGAAGGCCCCAGTGGCAGGGACCGCATGGCGCCACCGCACCAATTTCGGGACACCCGTGACACGTGTCTTGGCCTCGTAGGGCGCTTCTCGGGAAGCCCCAGTGGCAGGGTCCGCATGGCGCCACCGTGCCCATTTCGGCGCACCCCTCGCATGTTTCGTGTCACCATAGGGAGCCCTTCCGAAGGCCCCAGTAGCAGGGTCCGCACGGCGCCACCGCACCAGTGTCGGCGCACCCCTCACACGTTTCGTGGCCCCATAATGAGCTCCACCCAAGGCTCCAACGGCATGGTCCGCATGACGCTACAATGCCAATTTCGGTACACCCCTCACACCTTTCGTGGCCCCATGGAACTCCACCGAAGGCCCCAATGGCAAGGACGGCATAGCGCCACCGCGCCGGTTCGGGACACCCGTGACTCGTTTCTTGGCCCCGTAGGGAGCTCCACCAGAAGCCCCCATGGCAGGGTCCGCATGGCGCCACCAGAAGCATGTCAGCACACCCCTCACACGCTTTGTGGCCCCACAGTGAGCTTTACCTAAGGTCCCAGTGGCAAGGTCCACATGGCGCCACCGCGTCACACGTTTCGTGCCCCCATAGGGGGCTCCACCGAAAGCTCCACCGGCAAGGTCGGCATGTCGCCACGTTTCGTGACCCATCCCACCGAAGGCCTCAGTGGAAAGGTCCGCGTGGCGCCACCGCACCCATGTCGGCACACCCCTCACGCCCCATAAGGGGGCTCCACCGAAGACCCCAGTGGCAGTGTCCACATGGCGCTACAGCGCCCATGCCTGCACACCCCTCGCACGTTCCGTGGCCTCATAGGGAGCTCCACCGAAGACGTCTCTCACAATGGCGGTATTCACAACTGCAGATGGTTGGGCTCTTCGCTCGGATATTCCCCAACCATGCCCATGCCTCTGCCTTCCGCATGTTTCTGTTTCGGCACACCCCTCGCACATTTCGTGGCTCCATGGGGATCTCCACCTACGACCCCATTGGTTGCGCTCGCATGCCGCCGCCACCCCACTTTGTCGCACCGCTCACACGTTTCGTGGCCCCTTCGGGAGCTCCGCCTGAGGTTCGCATGCCGCCGCCACCCCACTTCGGCGCACCCCTTGCACGTTTCGCGGCACCACCTAGAGCTCCGCCTAAAGCCCTAGTGGCTGCGTTCGCATGTCGCCGCCACCCCAGTTTGGCGTACCTTTCACACGGTTCATGGCTTCATGACTTCATAAAGAGATCCGCCTAAGGCCCCGCTGGCTGCGTTCGCGTGCCGCCGCCACCCCACTTTGGCGCACCCCTCACGCGTTTCGTGGCCCCCAAAGAAGCTCCGCCTAAGGCTCCAATGGCTGCATTCGCATGCCGCGGCCACCCCACTTTGTCGCACCCTTCACACGTTTGGTGGCCTCATACATTGGGAGCTCCACTGAAAATTCTCGTGGCTGGGTTCGCATTCAACCGCCACCCCACTGGGGTAACCCTTACACATTTCGTGGCGCCATAGGGAGCTCCGCCTAAGGTTCGGTTCGCACGCCGCTGCCACCCCACTTTGGCGCACCCTCACACATGTCGTGGCCCAAACCGCACCCCTTACACGTGTCGTGGCCCCATAGGGGGCTCCATCCAAAGCTCCAGTGGTTGCGCCCGAATGCCGTCACACGATTCGTGGCCCCTCAGGGAGCTCAATCTAAGGCCCCAGTGGTTGCACCCGCATGCCGCCGCCACCCCAAGTTGGCGCACCCCTCACGCGTTTCGTGGCCCCATGCGGAGCTCCAACTCAGGCTCCAGAGGCTGCGGTCGCATGCCGCAGCCACCCTACTTTGGCGCACGCCTCACACGCTTCGTAGCCCCCGCCTAAGGCCCCAGTGGCTGCGTTAGCATGTCGCCGCCACCCCACTTTGGCGCACCCCTCACACGTTTCGCAACCCCACCGGGAGCCCCACCTAAGGCCCCAATGGTTGCGCCCGCATGCCGCCGCCACCCCGCTTTGGCGTACCCCTCACACGTCTCGTGCCCCTACAGGGAGCGCCACCTAATGTCACAATGGCTGCGCCCGCATGCCGCCGCCACTCCACTTTGGCGCACCCTTCACACGTGTCGTGGCCACATCGGGAGCTCCACCCAAAGCTCCAATGGCTGCGCCTGCATGCCGTTGTCACCGTGCTTTGGCGCACCCCTCACACGTTTCGTGGCCCTACAGGGAGCTCTACCTAAGGCCCCAGTGGCTGCGTTCGCATGCCGCCGCCACTACACTTTTGCAAACCCTTCACACGTTTCGTGGCCCCTAAGGAAGCTCCACCTAAGGCACCAGAGGCTGCGTTGGCATGCCGCCACCATCCCACTTTGGCGCACGCCTCACACGCTTCGTGGCCCGATGGGGAGCTCCAACGAATGCCCCAATTGCCAGAATCACATGCGTGACCGCGCCCATGTCAGCACACCCCTCACACGTTGCCCCAGAAGGAGCTCCGCCGACAGCCCCATTTGGTAAACCCCTCGCACGGTTCGTGGCCCCATAGGGAGGTCCGCCGAAGGCTCCAATGGCTGCGCTCGCATGCGTGACCGCGCCTATTTCGGCAAACCGCTTCGCACGTTTCGCGGTCCGTTAGGAAGCTCCACCCAATGCCCCGTCTGCAAGAATTGCATGCGTGACCGCCTCCATTTTGGCACACCCCTCGCACGTTCTTTGGCTCTATAGGAGCTCTACCAAAAGCCCCGCTGCCTGCTGCTCCCCTCACCGCGCCCTGCTGCTTCCCAAAGGCGGACCGACAGACGCCCAGGTAAACCATGACGGATTACATTTAGATGTAACCCGTTGTCGCAGACCACTGCGACCCCGTCATCACGCACGCCTTAGTCCTTTTACTCGCCCACTCCCTTAGTTTCCACCTGTCTTGCGGCACTCGCAACTGCATATGGATGGGTCCTCGCCAAGCTATTTGTTTCAGATGTGGGGCAGCTTCTGTCATCTTGAGTCACCCTGGCTCATCTTCGGCCATCCTGGGAGCCTGGGAACCCATCCAAGGCAAAATCCCCCACCGCTCCTGCGGCGCGTGCTGCATGTCTGAATGCCAAGCCATGCTGCGGGGTCTGTATAAGTTAGAAGACACGGCTTGCTTTTTCGCCACATTGGCAAACTTACCCCGCCCATCCCCGCCAAGATCCCTGGTTGCGCCTGTTCTGAGCGCAGGGCCCCGCTTGGCTTCTCCATGAGTCCAGAACAGGCGCTCTGAGGGCCCGAGAGAACTCAAGACGACCCCAAGAGGGCCCAAGACGATCAAAGTTGGCCTCATGATGGCCCCAGAGAACACCTAGCGCTGAAACGCGGCTCCGCGAGGGCGTCCGAGAGGCCCACATCGTCAAACTCGGTGGCTGTAGGTTTCCCAAGCGACGCTTGCACTTAGGGGCTTCCACTTGTCACCTGGGGAACTGGGCCTGCGGGACGCTCTGGCTGCCGCCGTCGCCGCCTCGTCGCCGCCCGTCGCCTGGGCCTGCAAGACGCTCTGGCCGCCATGTGGCCGCCTCGTCGCCGCCCGCCGCCTCGTCGCCGCCCGCTGTGCATTGCTTCGCATTCCTTTGCACGGCCTTGCACTGCTGTGCATTGCCCCGCATGGCTTTGCATTGCTTTGCGTCACTTTGCACTGTTTTGCGCCGTTGCAGTACAATCGCAATGCTTTGTAGTCGCATTGCATTGCGCTGCTTTGCATTGCGTTTCATTCGTTTGCAGTGCTATGACGTGCTTTGCATTGCTCGGCATTGCTCTGGAGTGCTCTGCGCTGCGTTTGCATCGCTTTGTATCGCTTCGCGTTGCGTTGCGTTGCTCGGTATTGATGGGTATTGTGTTGCGTTGCATTGCATTGCGTTGTACTGCGTTGCAATGCGTTGTGTTACTTGTCGTTGCTGTGTGCCACTGCAGTGTAATAACACTGCTTTGTAATCGTATTGTACTGTGCTGGTTCGCATTGGAATGCATTGCTATGACGTGCTTTGCATGGTTCCGCATGGCTTTGCACGGCTTGGCCTCATCTGCACTGATTTGCTTTAGTTTGCATTGAGTTGCATTGATTTGTATGTATTTGCGCTGCTTTGCATGGTTCTGCGATGGTTTGCGTTACTTCGCATGGCTTTGCGTTGCGTAGCATTTCGTTGCAGTGGTGTGCATTTCCTTGTTTGCGTTGCTTTGCACTGCTGTGCATTAAGTTGACTTGCGTTGCATTGTGTTGCCTTGCTCTACATTGCTTCTCACTGCTTTGCACTGCTCTGCATCACATCGCATAGCCTACACCACATAACTCACACCACATGTACTTTAAATGCGTAGGTTGCGTTACTTTAGATAGCACCACATAAGGCGCACAGCATTAATTGCACCACTTAGATTGGACCACTTGCGAAACACAGATCGCACCACATGTATTGCATCAAACAGGTTATAGTACATAACTCTCACCCCGTAGATCGCGCCACATAGATGGCACGACGTAGCTTACGCCACATGGTTCACACCACATAAAGGGGTGGGTCGGCTACTGCTGCATATCTTGCACCACGTACCTTGCACCACGTAGCTCACACCACATATACTGCACTACGCAGCAGGCACTACGTAGCTGACATCACATAGCTTACATCACGTATGCTGCAGCACATCGCCTCCACCACACAGCTTGCACCACATAACTTGCACCACATATGTTGTATCACCTGGTCTGCTAGAACACGCTGATAGGGGCCCACGCTGGCTAACATATATCTTTTTAGTTTATCTGCGGCATTCTGAACATTTCGATTCAAGCTTGCTCCACTGTGGACTCCACTCCGCACGTGTGAGACGGCCCAAGAGGCCCCCCCGAGAGCTCCGGTGTGGCTTAAGAGGCCCCTTAGTTGGCCTCCAAGACAACCCCAAGATGGTTCCAAGACGGTCAGATCCGCCACCTTGCCCTAGGCACTGGGTGCAGTGCCTTCAGGTCCCTCCGAGTTATCCGTATTGAATCTGGGGCCCAAGGTTCTGGGCGCTCCTGGGCGCTCCCAGGGCGGCTCGCAGGATTTGTTTGTTCAGAGGCCGCTGGAATCGTTTTTTTTTTGTTTCTCTCTCTCTCTCTCACTCCGAGGCCTCTGGAATCGTGGCATAGGCTCCGTGCTTCCAGCGCGGCCTAAGATGGTGCCGGGGACAGTCCTGACGACGGAGGCCCCCAAGATCACCGAAAGACTGCTTCCGAGCTCCCAGGAGGGGCCCGGGAGGCCCTCCGGATGGCCACAGGCGGGGCCCCAAGCAGGGGAGCACGAAGCGACACTCGGAGCCCCGAGTCCCGAGAAGGCCTCCGAAACCGCCAGGAGGCCCCCCCGAGGCCCGCAAGGTGCCCCAAGAGGCCCCCAAGAGGCCATCGGGAGGCCTACCACGAGACATCTAATGGGGCCCCCGTTCCCGATCCCAGGAGGAGGAGGAGGAGAAGGAGGAGGAGGAGGAGGAGGATGAAGGAGGAGGGGGGGGGAGGAGGAGGAGGAGGAGGAGGAGGAGGAGGAGGAGGAGGAGGAGGAGGAGGAGGAGGAGGAGGAGGAGGGGCCCCCAAATGTTGACGTTTCACTTTTACCTCCGCAGACCTTCCGCCCATGCTCTGCCTGCCTCCGCCTGCGGACCCGCCGCCGCTTCATTTCCGCCGGCCCTCCGCTGGCTTCAGCCGAGGGCGAGATGAGTCGAAGCCGGGGCTTGGGAAGGGTCTGTGTAGAGCGTTGCCTGCCTCGTCAAATAATGCTTACTCTACCTGGCTCTCAGAAACTTCTCGAGACTTGCCCCTGGCTGTTGGTGATTCTCTCGATCTGGCTGCTCCCGGATATTCTTGATGCGCAGGGCTGTTGGACACTTCCCGGGCTCGGCTGCTTCTGGCTGTGCCTTTTGCACCTGGTTTCCAGGAGCTCGCTAGGTTCGCTGCTGTAGCCAGGGGTTTGAGGGATCTGATCGTTTTGTGCAGCTTCGCTTTTGTAGTCCAGGCGCACTCTCACACGTACCTGTAATTATACGGATCGCTGACCTGTGCCAGGAAACTCGTTGTCGCCCAACGTTCTTGTACACCGTGCTGCGGTGACGGAAATCCGCCGCAAACCAACTGTCGCATCCAGTCAGCACTTGCCGTAGGTGACACCGCGGAGCAACATGTCTCCAGATGGGGCAGCCGCTGCGACACAATCTCTGATGAGCGCGCTTGCTGAGTACACACCCAAATATCTATACACGTTTCGATAAAACTCACACACACACATCGATATGTATACACGGCGGTTCTGGAGACCCTGGACTCAACTAAATGCCACCTCCTTGGGGGGAGGGCCTCGTGTTGCTTCCAACAACCTCTGCTGGCGGACCCGCCGCCGTTTTACCTCCGCCAGATTCCGCCGGGGGCAAGATGTCAACTTGTCGGTTCCCCGAAGACGAAACATGTCATGTAATGTCTCGTGTGCCGTCCCTGCGCAGGCCTCGAAGGTGCAGAGCCACGATGTCTCGTAGCACGGGACGTAGGCCGCCTGGCGCACTATCCCGGGCGCCTCCTCCTCCAAACTCTGAGCCTCCTCCTCCATCTCGGGCTCCTCTCCTCCATCGTTTCGTTTGCCTTTGCCGAGGTAAGGATCCTGACGGCCGCGTGCCCTGCGAGATGACTGACGGCGTGTGGACGCCTTCGCCCATGGCGATGGCCTCGGCTTCGAAATGACGATAGTTGCTCCTGCAGGAACGTTCCAGAAACTGCGATGGGGAAACGGATCGCACGACTGCCTCTCCGTCATCCCTGGTCCTCTTCCCCTCGTCGTGTCCTCCGCACGTCCTTCTGCCTGCCTCTCGCTCTCTTCCTCCACTGCCTCATTCTTCTCGGCCTCTCGGCCTGCCTCCTCCTTCTCCTCACTCTCCTGCCCCTCTCCCACCTATTGTCGCTTCGTCGTCCCCCGCCCGCCCTGCGCGGCAGGACTTCATGCACACGTCTTTCACAGGTCCGTCTCGCGAGACAGGCGCTGGCTCGTGGCTTACGCCACGCCCTCGACGGAAAAGACGCTCAGCTGTCACCCCTCGGGCTTCACGATCGATGCGCCCGCAGAAGGACCCACCTCTCTGTTTTGTGCAGGCGAGCGGCCGCCCACGCCCCGCAAGTCGACCGTACAAACGTGGGCAGTCTGCAGAGCCCTGGGCGCCTACGGCGAGAGCAACATCGAAAACTGGCCGAGCCAGCAATGCCTCCGAAACCGGCAGAAAGCAATAGCCGACCGAGTGGAACCGGGCGGGTGCAAGCCGACCGCGACGCTGCCAGCCGAGCCGGGTCGCGGACATCACGGAGTGCACGTCGCGCTCGTAAAGCAAGCGAGACCGCGCAGTGGCCTCTTGCCGCGGGCTGCCGTGCAGGTGTTGCCGCAAGCATGGGGAGATGAGGAGCCCGTCCCAGGTGCAGGCGATCCGATCGCGCCCGGCGCGTTGCTCGCGGCGCGTTGCTCGCGGCGCGTTGGTCGCGGCTCCGCCAGCTGCCGGGGCCGACCCCCTCTCCTGCAGACTAAGCCTCTGCCTCTTTGACTCTCCCCTTCGTCCCCTCTGTCCGCTCTCTCTTCCCCTCCCCTCCCCGGCGGAATCGCTAGCTCACACGCGTGGGAGTTCTACACCCACATGGATCTAACCATACTGTACGCGCTGTCTATCCACTCCCTGCGTTGGTTACGTGGCTCTTGGTGGACACTGCCATCCTGTAATCGCGCACCAATCCCTTCCCGCCCCTTCCTCCTCGCCATTTCACCTGCCCCAGATTACGCTCAACTCTCCTCGCGTCCCCACTCCATCAGCCACCCACCGCTCCCACCACGCCCCTTTCTCTCCCCCCTCGCTCAAAACCAGTCCCCAGACTTCTCCCGGGCACCATCCTGACCCGTTTTCTAAGTCGCGTCCCTTTGGGCCCATCGGATGGGGCGGATGAGGAGCAGGAAAGAGCTGCCTGATTTCAGGCCAGGGCGAGGTGCTCAGGCGACCGCTCCGGAGGATCTGGGTGGCCCGGAACGGACCACGACGAGGCGCAGCTGATGGAAAACAACCCAGGTCCCGAAAACATCCGAAAGCTGCAGAACAGCTTCGGCAACCTGGATAATGATGATGATGGTGGTACTGATGATGCTGTTGATGATGATGACGATGATGATGATGGTGATGATGATGCCGTGGTGGTAATGATGATGGTGGTGATGTTGGTGATGATGGTGGTAATGATGATCGTAATGCTGATGACGGTGATGATGATGCTGTGGTGGTGGTGGTGATTGTGATTGTGATGATGATGTTAGTGCTGATGGTGATGGTGATGATGATGAGGATGGTGATGATGATGCTGGTGATGACGATGAGGATGATGATGACGGTGGTGATGATGATGGTGGTGGTGATGATGCTACTGATGATCGTGATGCTGATGATAGCATTGGCGGTGATGAGGATGCTGCTGATGATGGTGGTGATGACGACGCTGATGGTTATGATGGTACTGATGATGGTCAGGGTGATTATGATGAGGATGGGGATGATGCAGATGCTGGTGAGGAGGACGATGACGACGAGGCTGTGGTGATAGTGTTGATGAGGAGGATTTGTGATGATGATGATGATGAGGAATATGAAACTGCTGATGTTGTTGCAACTGCTGTTGCTGATGATGCTGATGATGCTGATGCTGATGCTGATGGTGATGATGAGGGTGATGGTGGTGGTGGTTGTTGTGATGATGCTGATGATGAAGATGATGACGATGATCGACCCTACCTGGGGGGCAACAGTCTGGCCGCGCGCTTACGTGTCAGTGGCGTGCAAGGCAGCTGCTATATCGGCGATTTGCCCAGCAGGGTTCGCAACGATTCCGTGAACCAGCGTCGCCTTGAGCTTATGATGGGTATGAAAGGCGGGCGCGCCCAGTTGCGTGGCGGCACTGTGGGAGAGTGCAAGCGATGCGCGGTTGCATTCGTTGTCGGCGCCAAGGCCGAGTGTTAAATTAAGTGAGGGGGGCAAGGCCAGGAGAACAGGGCAGAAGGGATAGTGTGGGAATGTGTCGAGCTGCTGTCTGCAGCCAACAATGCGCGATGGCGCCCCAGTGAGATGCATGCAATGTAAGGTTGTCCACCCCCCTGCGAGGGTCTTGGCGGTCTTGTGCAGGCTCCACAGCCGCGCAGGTTCAATCGTGGGGGGCGCCGCAAGGCCTCCCCCCCACCGCTCGCCCACCGCCCCATTAATCGAAGCAGAAATGCCCCGCGCAGGCAAAAACACTTAGCGATGGCATTCGCAAATCCAAATGAAAAAAGTGAGACGCGCAGCAGGGAAGGAAAAGTACGCTGGACCATCCTCCTGCGTTCTTCCCCCCACTGCACTAGCCTGTTCCTGACGGGCCGCCGCGAGCGCCGAACGCCAGAGTGCAACCGGAATGGGTGAGAAGGTTGGCACTTCGGAACGACTAGCATACCGCTGCAAGAAACCGCGCTCTGTCATTCCAGCATGGCGCATTCCATTGCGCACGCGTCCAGCGCGCCAGTGGTGCATGGAAGATCGCCGCTTCAGACGACTCGTGCATTCGTGCAACTGCGCTTCCCAGCTTCGCAGAGTATGAAAGCCGCATCTCCGCGAGCTTGCTGCATTCATGACTGGCTCTGATGCGTGCGCCACTAGACCGCGTGCTTTGAATGAGAACAAACCAGCCAATCGGAGCGTGCAGGATGGCAAACGAAGGGCTCTGTGCAGAGCGAATTATTCTTTGTGCAGGACTACGGTTGGCAATGAAAGCTGCGGGGCGCGATGGCTGAGCGCCGAGAGGGCAGCGCTGCTGCGCAGAGGCGGGCTGGCACTAGAGTCCGACCACAGAGAAACAACTTTACTGGGTAAGAGCCGCAATTTTGCTGGCCTCTCGGCGCTTCTGAAGTCAGAAAAGACACGTGTCAAAGCAGACAGACAGGGCTGCTCGAGCCTCGCAGCATCCGCACTTCCTCCGACCACCCCCCGTGGAACGTCCGCCCCCGGTTGAATTAAAATCGGGTCCAACGCGATGGCCCGCGCCGAGCCTCAGCGCGGGCGGCCTTGCGTCATGCCTGACGCAAATGGAACGTAAATAGCAACTCGCCCTGCAGCAGATCAAAGCTGCGAGGCTCTAATACATTAAGGCAAGCAAATTCAGATATCCAGGCGGCGCGCCAATGCGAGAGAACACCTCCCACTGCCACTCGCTGTTAAGAGATGGGATCACACCGGCTATGTCGAGCGCAATAAAGGTAGGCGCTCGCGTTGCAGCTGTCTCGCCGTGCTAGCCAGGAGGGCAGCTGCGTCTAGCTGGAGCAAACTATGCAAAACAATATTGCTTGGCACAAATCCTAGCTGGGCCTGGTGAGTGCGCGCAGTCATTGAGGCCGCTGATTGGCCACCGCGGCTGGGATCTCAGAGTCCGTGCTGCGCAACAGGAGGGGCGAATTTGGTCTGGGCCCCGCGCGCGCTCATAGGCATCACTAGTATCACCCGCCATGGGGTGCCTCTGGAGTATCTGGTCATCCGAGGCCGCCCATGCATGCCGTTGTTGTTGGTGCAGCAAGCTCGTTGTTGGCCCGATGCTCTGCGGCGTGTAGTAAACGAAATTGACGGCGGACAGAATCGAGCTCCCGACGCTGAACTTGTTCATTTTAAAGGGGGAGATGCTTGGCACCCACGACCGAACTGGCCATGATGAGAGCTGCTAACTTCGTATCTTGCCTCCAGACAGCACGAGACATACTGCGTGAAGCGAGGTTGCGCCCCCTATCGGGCACGCTTGTCATTAGCTCAAAATGCACGCCGCCGCCTTTCATCTCGTGTTTGCTTGGCCACTATGTTCAACAGGTCTTTCAATTGAGGCCATCTGGTAACTGGCGGAAAACGACCCAGGTCCGCGCCAACCAGTAGCATGTCCAGGG